GAAGGCTCTATGCCCATAGGTGGTAGGAAGGCATGGGTCCAGGGTGGTCTCACTTGACAGGCTCTCAGGCTGCTCCAGCAGACCCAGCCTGACTAGGTACTGCCCCTCTACTAAGGGATGATAAACAGGGGAACTACAGAATCGGATATGCCAACATGTCTCCCCGCCCCTTACCAAGCTAACAAACAGCCTGAATTCTTTTTCTTCCCCGGAACAGGGAAGCATAAAAGGTTAGAAACAGAGAAAACGCTTTCCTGTGCAGGAGTGAGACATGACTCCCACTCACTTTTTTCACAGGCTTCTCAGGACTACTCACTGCCCTGGCAGTCCTGTGTGGTCATAGAGCTAGCCCCCTGCAGCCTATGAGTGAAGGTTCTGAGATACCTAACTGTGAGCCACCGTCTGTTGTGACAAAATCAATACAAAACATATAAATGGTCAGAGGATAGCTAACACAAATGCAAGCCCCTGCAATGTCATAGATCAAAGTTAATTTTTCCCAACACATAAAATTCAAAACTGTTTCTATAAGAAGGTATTAAAAATGTTACCCCAAGTTTTAAAAACTCAAAACATAAATGTGAAACAGACATTTGTCTGGCACAAGAGCCCAAAAATTTGAAAGATAAACCTAGAGCTACATATAGTAAACAAGTCCCTCAGCCCCTAGCCTGTCTGTGCCCCTGATTCCACAGCAGGGAAACATGGAATTTCTTGAACCACAAGGTTTCTGTCAGCACTCAAAGCAGAAGAAAAATACACAGCACCTTAAAGGAAGAGACATATATATGTCAAGCACATGTTTCTTGAGATAGCAGGTCAAGAGGAGAAGACAAAATCATTTTTCTGATACCCAGCAGCCTACCTTCTTTGGATCATCTTACACAACCTGGATGTGGTCCTTCAGGAGTCATGTGTTGTTAGCATGGGTGGGGGGGTGCTGCAAAGTGTATGCAAGATGCTGCCATGTTACCATGCTACTGTAACTCAAAATCAGCAATGCTTACTGCTTCTGCATTGGGCTCTCTTTCCACTTAAGAAGCACATATTAATGTACAAGAAAATGAGACAAATCTATACAAATAAGGTCACAAAATTGAAGTTAGTCTTCTCTCTGAATAGGACTTTTACATACTCATACAGAAATGCCAGCAATAATATGCAAAAACAATGAAGCAATATTAAGTTCATAAAATATTAAGCATTACATATATATTTGTACTATATACCTATCTTCAAGCACAAATAAATACACATGTAATTAGGTAAGTATATTAAATACAAAAAAGGAAGAAAATGAAAAGGGCAAGTTGTTCCTAAGACCTTATTATTTTAAAAAATACATTTTAGTATATACAGAGAAAATTAAGGTGCTTGAATATTCACCAGTTTTGAATACAGTTGCCTTTATGGAAGTGGGATCATGGAGTATTATCTATACTGTATTTTTCAAAGTCTGAATTTTATATACCTTTAATCAAGATGCTAATTAGAAGAGCTATGCAAAACAAAGAATAACTTCCAAGTTAGCAACCTCATTTTGATTCATATTCCAGAAGCCCAAATTAATCTATGAAAATAATATCAATAAAGACCTCTAACAATGATTCAACTGTTATTGAATCCTTTGGTTGAATTAAGATTAACCAAAACCAGACTAAAAAGGTCTGGAAGAGGCCAGAAAGAAGAACAAGAATTGTAACAAAGAATAGAGCAAGCAGTGGGTGCTGTTGCTGTATTGAAGGAATAGGAGAGAATAACTATTCACTTAGAAATCAGCCCATTTCTTTCTTATTTTACTGGGAAACTGTCATGGGCCTCAGTAAGTGGCTGGTTCATCACTGCTAAGGCACTGTCCTATTTTCCTCCACAGAACACAAACAGCACTAAAGACAAGAGTGTATCTCTGTGGAAGATGCCTATTAAACTCAGGCCTAGACTCCCCCTAGACATGCCCATGCAGCTCACCTCTAATCTTTGCTGGAAAATTACCTCCAGCAGCCACAGAGGACGGCTGCCCACACTGTAAGAGCCCCTTGCCCAACTGCCATGACTTCCACTTCAAAAGCACAGCAGGACAGAGCTACTTAATACCTTTCCCAGGTGGAGAAACTGAAATGGTGAGAAAGGCTCTAAAAAATAAAGGGAAATGAAGGACCTGCCCCGTGCACCATTGGCCGTAGCCAGTGTGAGTTGCCCCTGTCTGCAAGAAAGGTCAGCAGTGAGCATCTGCAATCTTCACAGCCTCAGGGGGCACCTGCAGTTCCTTAGGGCAAGTCCCTGATCCAGGTGATGTAACCCTGTACAGAGGGCCCCTCCTGACAACACTGCTGCAGTGCACAACCCACCTTCCTGCAGGTATAGAACACATCTCCACAAAAGGTGGCTGAGGCTCTCACAGTCCTTTGGGCAAGGCTCAGGGTCTAGGGGGACCTGCATGGAGTCCTCTGACCCTCCTCTCTCTACCCACAACCCTCTCCATGGTTTAAGAACAAGTGTTTGATGATTTTATGTGTTTTTTTTTTTTTTAAAAGGTATCTTTCTTTTTTTTGGTGGTGGTACTTGGGTTTGAACTCAGGGCCTCACATTTGCTAGGCAGGCACTCTATGACTTGAGCCACTCTGCCAACCCATTTTTTGTTGGGTATTTTTAAGATAGGGTCTTGCAAACTATTTGCCCACATCAGCTTCAAACTGTGATCCTCCTGAGCCACTGGTGCCTGGCAAAAAAAAAAAAAAAAAAGGTACCTTTCTAAAGTGTTTTAAGTTGCATTCCTTTGAAATCCTTGGTGAGGGTCTTGATTAAATGAGTGGATCACTTCCCTTCCCTCAAGACCATCCTAAAAGACAGTGTAGGTACAGGGTTCTAATTCAAGTCCAAACCAAAGGTAAACATCCTGACTTGTTACTCTTTCCAAATTGTGTTTGAGATGGGTCTTATTATGTTGCCTAGACTGACCCTGAAACGCCATGCTCAAGCAATTCTGCTGCCTCAACCTCCTGAGTACCTGGGACTATAGGCACATGCCATCATACCCAGATTCTTTTTTTACTTACTAATGTAATTCTCTGTTGTTATGCAGACTCAAGCTGCACATAATACACACCATATACAATGCATTTAACAAGCTAGAACCCTCACTGAAAAACATGAAAACTTTCTTTTCTTGGCCTCTGTCACTTACATAAGCCCAATTATACCATATCACCTGCCATAAGGAGGCTTTGACCCCAAGGCTTCAGATACAAGTACCCTTATCTTTTCTACCTTCCTTCCTTACATTTCTAACATGGTATCTTATTTATTACAAGCATGGAAACAGATTCAAGGAAACTAAATCTCTGTTGAGTCATACAACTTGAATCCAACCTTTTGATTCAAGGTAGCATGTACACTGAACCATCTGCAGAATACTTCATATCCTGCAAAACACAGCCCACCAGACACTGAGCAATTCACACCCCCAGTTGCAAAAGCAAGATTTGTCTCCAGAAAACAGTAGAAGTACAACATCTGGGTAAAGACGATGGGAACTTCAAGAGCTCAGAGAGAGACCAATTCCTAAAGGTCTAGGAAAAGCTACCCAGAACCTTTAGAGCAGCTAAGAACTGAATACATAGGGATGAAGGGAAAGGCTCAGGCAATCCTACTTGGATTTTGCCCTAACTGGATGGGCAACACGTTGTCTTCTGAATGCCCATCCTAAGGAGAAAGACAGCCTCAAGGTCCATGGTCAACACCCACCCTCCCCAACCTGGTTTCCATATCTCTGGCACTGGCATAGCTCTCTGACTATAAAGCTTTTTTCTTTTGCCTTTTTGCCTCTGCCAATGTTTCATAGTTTAGAGAGAGTATTTCTTTTTCAGATGGACCTGCATTGTACAGATACTTTCATCTTGCTGATATAAGTAAATTTTTAAAAGAAAACACACAGCACCTCAGAACTCTAGAGTAGAAGGATTTCTTGGGCCACCTGTCAGTTGTTCTTAGACCTGTGCTAGAGGTTTACCACAGCGCTTGCTTAAAATGCTGATTTCTGGGCCCCAACCCAGAGATTATGGTTCAAAAGGTCTTAAGTCTATCATCTTGCTAAACTGTTGATTTAAAAATATACATGCTAAATTTCAATTCTTAACTCCATTTTGGAGTCCTACGACTGCAAATATAGCAAGTGACCATCTGTAAATTTCATGCTTCTCCACTGTAGTCAGGGCAGTGGCATCGGGGTGGTAGAGAACACTGCGGGCACCAAAGCTCTGGCTCAGCAGACACATACCTCCGCTTTGCAGGTGAACACTCAAAGGACAGAGAGGATTTTAGGGGGACACACCAGCAAGAATTTGCGTGAAGGATGAAAGCTAGAAACTGTCTCAAGTTTTTTATGTCCGAGATACAGGATGTAACGTCTACCAGCCCTGCTACAAATGGATGTAATATTAATCTACTCCATAAAGTATAGTTCAAACTAAAGACAAGGAGACAAGAGACTCAAAGGAAACTTTTCTTTCCTTTTTGGAAAACAAAGACTAATTTACGGGGGGGAGCAGAGTATTTAAGATTTCCTTGATCAGATTTTATATTTGTGAATTTCATTACTCCTCAGGAAGAACAGTTCTATGAGTTGTTAAATTTAGAGAAGGACAGGAGCTTCTTTCTCCCAGGGACTGGAAAGTTAATGCTGCCAGGGCAGCAGGGCTCATGTATGTGAGGGTCAGCAGCACCACCCCAAGTAAACCCCTATGTTCCAGGCGTCACACAAGCTAACACCCCCGGAAGGTTCACTGCGCCTCTGGGCTGGGACAGTGAAGACCTGGCATCATGAGGGCACCATGGAGTGGCCGATCTTCCTCCTTCCTACCTATTCAGGGAGTGCAGTCTGAGCACAGAGTGCAGTGCCTACCTGCAGCAGATGCCTCTGAGAAAAGCACCCGAGCAGCTGTTGCAGAAGGGAGCCCCCCAGGTCACAGGCACTGGGGAGGACTGTGACTGCACACACTCACTTGGTCGCCCCTCCACTGCCCTCGTCATTATCTGAGGATGACGATGTAGAAGAACCAGGGAAGTAGGTGGAATCCACATGATTGGGGCTGCCGCCCTGGGCCGGGTTGATGGGCGAGGACCGCTCGTACAGTGGCGTGTGCTTCCCCTCATGAGGAATGTTGCTGTAGCTGTTCTGCTCCGTCATGCTCTTCCCACTCGTATCCAGAGTGAGGGCCGGCTCAGTGAGGCTGTATGGGTATGGACCCTGGCCTGGGGCACCCCCTGGGCTGGGCACCTGTGGGGCCTGAAGCACAGGGCGGTCAGCACTCGAGGCAACTATCTCATCTATCAAATCCAAGAATTTTAATAAACTTGTATTCATTAAAATGTAACCTCCAAGGCCCACAGCCCCACTGGCCTCCAGGGATGCCTTACCGTGGGTTTTGCTTGCAGAGAAGTCTGTGGAATGTTGAGCATCTGAGGGGGAACATATGGTGGCACCATCCCAGGCATTCCAAATGGATTTGGTCTGGCTGTTCCAGCAACATGGGAAGAAAATAATAAAACAACTGTTAATAGCATGCCATCTCCCCAGGACATCCCTGGGGCCAGCCCACGGCCCAGTGTCTTGTCCCTCTCAGACACCAGCACTGCTCGTCCCACTTCTCAGACGTTTTTATAAACCAGGGTTGAACATGTGGTTTCTGACCTGCAATTTCAGCAGAACCAGAAGGCCTGGCTTCTTCAGCTTTCTTTAAAAATGGAACAAAACCAGATCTCTCTTAACTTGATGCTCCCTCTTTAAGCAGCAGGAGTACTTCTCCAGCCTCTGATCTGGAGGCAAGAGGAGCACAGCCCACAACTGCCACTGCTCACGGGGTGTACTGCCAAATAAACACACACACAAAATCCCAAGCTCTGCCTCTCACTCTTTGAAAGCAAACTTCCACTGTCGAGCTGACAAGGAACTTCAAAGGCAATACAAGTCAGGGTGAAACCAGTACTCTGAATGCTGGACACATTGTGCAGACCCTGTGGACCCACAGCCCACTGAGACTTAGCACAGTCCTCAGAGGCGAGGAGAGAAGCACAGACTGTTGCTCATTTCCTCCCACCTGATGAGGACTGAAACTCAGAAACTATGCTCTACCTGGAGTTCCCATCTCCAAGGGCCTGCAGCTCTCAAGCCCTGAAATGCCAAAACGAGCCTTTGATCCTGGTTCTCACTAAGGAAGAAATCTTGGCACAGCTTCCACATTTGTACCAAACAAAGAAAACTGCTAGGAGTAGTGAGACGCACATGTGCTCTCGGGCACACTCACACACATGAATGCACTCACGCACAAGCAACAAGTCCATTTAGGTCTGCACCTCTGAGAGTGAGGTAAAAATTGCTAGAAATGTTCAAGGCTCACTCTCCAAAACTATGATAAAATTCAGCCAAAACTCTAATACTATAATTCAAATCACTGTAAAATCTTATTTATCAACTCTTGTAGCTGACCTTCCATACCTAACTTCTGAATAGTAAAAATGAAACGCTTGGTTCATTGATTATGCAGCAGCAACTATCAGGTAAAGATGATCATTTTTGTGTCATTCTACTTTTAGTCACTACATGATGAAAACATCCTGAAAAGCCCAAACCTTCCTATAAACAAACAAACCTATCAACCAATATTATAACATAAAACCAAAGATTACCACTGTAATCCATGACCTCGAACAAGCCTTTGTGACTCACAGAACATGTCAAAACTCTGTAATAACTGAAGTAGTCTCTATGTTTTCCTGAAGGCTGAAGAAATGCCTAATCAACGAGGCTTTCCTCTAAATCAGTTGTTTTCTATGCCACACGCAGCTGAGCAGAAGCAGTTTCTCCCTTCTCTGAGACAAAAGCATCTTTCTCAGATGAGACACCAGGCCCACAGTGGAAGCAACACTTGCTGGTGTCCAATTTTCTTTCTTTCACTTAACATGCTTACAGACTGGCTTTTGTTAGAAAAGCAGGCAGCAGAGAGAGTAAGAATAGGAGGGAAAAAAATGCAGAAAGAATGTCCAATTAATACAAAAGTATTTTTATACCTTTAAATATTACAGACTTCATTAGAACTGCACAGAAAAGCAACAAGCCAGGCAGCCTTTGAGGTGTCTGCTGACTTTTGTCCAAGACCCCAAAGACCCACCTTTGAATCGTCAGGCCCAAGTAGAGCTGCCCAGATTTTGCTCTAGACAATACTTTTTTTTTTAAGGAATGGCGTTATCTAGAACCTCTACCTTGAACTACAGTCAGCCATACCCCAGCCCCCACTCCTAGCCCAACCTAACAGACTCTTCTGAGCAGTCACATTAAAGAGACATGAAATAATAAGCTTAGACACAAAACAGGATGCTTTTTAAAAAAAAATGCTATAATGTAAACAAATACCACTGTATTTGTATAGGGTAACCCTAAAACCAGAGCTCTGAAAAAAATGGCGGGGGGGGGGGGGAATAGAACTGGGGTTTGAACTCAGGGCCTTGCACTTGCTAGGCACTCTACCATCTGACTCTACCCCAGTCCCTTATTGTTTTCAGTCATTTTTCAGATAGGATCTTGCTGCCTGTGCCACTTGTACACAGATGGGATGACAGCTGTGCACCACCACACCTGCCTTATTTGCTGAGATGGGTCTTGCTAACTTTTTGCCTGGACTGGCTTCGAATCATGGTCCTCCTGACCTCTATCCCCCAAGTAGCTGGGATTACAGATGTGAGCCACCACATTTGGACAAGCTTTGAAATTTTTGATTTAAGGATTAAATAAATCAATATAATCCCTGCCAACACTAGTTTTCAATGCTTGCAAAAATCCAAAGTAAAAATTTCCAACTATTATAAATGTATTTCAAAGGACGTATTTACTAAGTATCAGTGTTAAAAAGAGATGAAGGCACAAAGTCATGGTGAGGCTCTCCTTTAATCTGTCCCAATTTACTACAGATAAGTACTTTCCAGAAAGGCAGGGATAGGCCTGGAGCACAGGGAAGGGGCAGGGGATGGTCTGGCTGTAACTTCAGGGAAAAGCCAAACAGAGCCAAGTCCAGCAGGCCCAGCCTGAACTGAGACTAGATGCAAGGTCAAGGCCCAGGAAGACTGTGGAGGATGGGCTAGCAAAGCTGACATCCACCCAGAGCTGGTGGATAGGCCAGACCATGTGGAGAAGCCCATGGTCAGCACTGAGAAGAAACCCAATCATGGAAGGCTTTGAGACCTGAGAGATGATCAGATTGAGGAAGACTAAGTCCAAGGAAGTAAAAAGTAAGACCATGAATAAAGTGGGAGGGCGCATTCTGTGTAGCACCTGAAAGAACTGGAACAATGCACAAATTAAACTGAGGAAGCCTATCTCAAGTTACCAGAAGCTCCAACTTTCTAAGAACCAGAGCAGTCACCAGTGAACAAGATTTCTTCACTGGGTGTTTACACAAGACTCTGGGGCATATATTTATCTGGCCTTTATGCCCCATCTGGCCTGCACTCAGTGACGACTGCCACCGATTTCAGTACAGTCCTCTTGGCCCTTTTTGTCTTCTGTGCTGGAGCCATCTTTCTATCCCACACACCTGCCTGGATCTGCAAAAGCCAGTCCTCCCTTAGATGGTGTGTTAGGAGACAGCAAGTACCCCTTCTTCCCCTGAACGGTTTAACCTGTCAACTGTCCCTCCCATTCATCAAGTGACCTGAGGCAGCCTGGGGGACCAGTGCTTGACCTATCCTGTCCTCTTCTACCTCCCTAGCCCTGAAGAAGGGAGCTGGGGTCCTCTGCTCATGAATGCAGTCTGGGAGCTTGAGTGTATTGCTGAGGGTAACCTCAGCCATTTTGCTGACACTCCATCTAGGAGTTTGTGGTCCACCCACCCTGAAGCCATTCTCCGAAAGCGAGTGTGCACCACTCTCCTGTGCCGCTATCACCTCCGTCTCCTCTTAGACCAGCCAAGGCTGAGTACAGGACCTCCCTCCGCACCACCAACAGCCCCATAGCATCATACAACAGTGAAGACCCCATCCAGGGCCCCAGCTTGGTTCCCCCACTCTGTTTCATCTGCATATTCAACTGCCTACATCCACTAAATGCCTTAAGATTTGTGTTCAGAACAGTTCTCCAGATCTTCCTCCTCCACGAGTCTCTATCTCACAACAGGTACCAGCACCTGAAGCACTCAGGCTAAAACTCGGAGCCATTCTTCCTCAGTCCTTTTTCACTCAGCTTCCACACCCAAGCATCAATACCTGTTCACCTGCTTCCCCAGTCTGTGAAAGCCACCTCATTCCTCTACCTCCTGCTATGGAGACCTCCAACTACTGCCAGGGCTCTCTACACTGGCCCCATACTAACCCACTCTACACAACAGTCATGTGGCCAAATGCACACCACCTCCCAGATCACAACTCTTTAACAAGAGCATTTCCTTAGTCTGGAAAAGGTGGGGAGATAATGCTAAATGTTAAAACTTTCCCCTGAAGAACTAGACAAGATCATTCATCATCACTACTGTCTATTAAACATTGTGTTCCAAGCCCCAGCTGATACAGTAAATCAGAAAGATGGGACAGAAGATATTAACTCTAGAGGATATAATTACCCAAAGGAATTTACAAATCAGTGATAAAAACTATTAAAAACTAAGCAAAGTTGCTTAACACAAAATTAATCGGCAAAGTAGTGTGCATTCTAAACAGTTTGAAAATAGCACCCTATTTCAAAATACTTAGCTATTTATGAAGAAAGCTAAAGTTTATTGAACATATTCAAAACTATTTAAGTCAAGAGAAATTTAACCTTTTCTAGAATATACTCTACAATAAATACATTTATCTTCTCCAAACTGATCTGCAGAGTTACTGCAATTCCAATCAACACTTCTTCAAGAAGCACAAAAGTTATATGAAAGTGAAAGGATCATCAATAGTACCCCCCGCAGAACTAGTAAACTGCCCCACCAGATAGCAAGTATTACCACAAGGCTCTGGTAACAAGGACAGCAGAAATTCAACAGGACCACAGACAGACCCTTGTAGAGACTGATGAGAGCCCCAGGCAGCCTGCTCTTGAGCAGTGCTGAGGCAGCAGGTCACCCATGAGACCTTCTTGTTTACACCAAAAGCAAAATTCAGCGCAGAAGATTTAACAGGCAAAACCACAGAAAAAACTTTGAGAAGAGTCAAGGGCAAGGCAATCAATGGGCCCCCTATTCTTGGCATATCAGAAGTAGGAAATGCCCAGCATGGTTGCTTCTCCTCCCCATTACAGAGCGGCTGGGAAGCAAACCTCAGACATGCTGTCTTTTCATCTGTAAACATAAAAGAGGACTTCCTAACAGAGCAAACAACAAAGGAAAATGTGTCAGTATCTAACATTAAGACTAAAATCTAGTATCAAAGAGAGAGAAATACAATCCACAACTATATACCTGTATACCTGACAAAGGACTAGTAGCCAATATATATCAAATATTTCTATGAATCAACACAAAAAGAAAAACAGCTGAAC